ATGGCGGAATATGCACCAAAAGCTGGTTTGCCAACCGCCATTAAACATCATAAGAAGAAGAAGAGTGAGGGCGCACTATTGTTAATCGTTCGTAAACCTCCACACCACAGCACCAGAGGAAGAGGCATCTACCATAAACACTGATGGAGTGAGGCTTGTTTTCATATCAAATGGTGAGCTGTTTCGTACATTTCAATAATGTTGTTTTAAACACATATAAGGTGTGCAGTATATGCTGTACATTGCAGGTTTTTGCCACTTGCTGTCCGTAAAGCTTTGTCATAATATCATGCGCTCTGCTCTCAGTGCACTTACACCGCTCTTTTCAAGTGTAACACCTTTGAGCTCTAACGTTAAATTAATATAATTTAACGGAGTATTTCTGTTAAAAGCATAGAAGGCTGCTCTGGCCAAGATTATTATTTCCAAAGTAGTCCAGTTTCCGCCTAATACAAGTTCTGCTGCCTGATCCTATACCCTAATATAGACTCTTTTCTGGTTTAATGACTTGAATGAAGTAAAACAATTGAAAGCGGGGGGAAAATCTCATTGTGAATTCTCTAGTTCATGATGGCCACAATCATTGGCACCCAATTATTGCAAAGTCCTTTTCCCAAGATAACAGTTCTGAGTTCTCCTATAATGCCTGAAAAGTTTGGAGAACACCTGATAAGAGATCATAGACCATTCCTTCATACAGAATCTCTCCAGATCCTTCAGATTCACAGCTCCATGTTGGTTCTTCTTCTTTTCAGTTCACCCAACTCATCTTCTATATTGTTCAGGTCAGGGAACTGGAATGGCCCATTATAAGATTTCTAGCATGGACAGTCAGTTTTTAATTTTTTTATCTGTTGGTATTTAATTGAATCCATGATGCCATGTATCTGAACAAGATGTCCAGGACCTCCAGCAAAAATATAGACCCACAACATTAAAGATACAGAAGTATATTTCATTGTAAACATAGGGTACTTTTTACTCCTGTGTGAACCAAACCCATCTTGAGTGTTTGCTGCTAAAAAGCTCATTTTTTAGTTTTATCTGACCATAGAATCCAGTCCTGTTTGAAGTTCCAGTAGTTTCTGGCAAATTAATGTGTTGGAGTTTGTTTTCGGTTGAGAGCATTTTCTTTTCTGGATTTTTCTTTTTCTTGAAACCCTCCCAAAAAAAATGTTTTTGAGGCTTTCTAACCCCAAGACTTAACAGAGTCAGTCACTTTTTGATTTTTTATCTGTTGGTATTTGATAGAATCAAAGATGCCATGTGTCTAAACAAGATGTCCAGGACCTCCAGCAGAAATATAGGCCCACAACATTAAAAATACAGCCGTATATTTCATTGTACACATGGGGTACTTTTTATCCCTGTGTTCACCAAACCCATCTTGAGTGTTTGCTGCTAAAAAGCTCATTTTTTAGTTTTATCTGACCATAGAATCCAGTCCTGTTTGAAGTTCCAGTAGTTTCTGGCAAATTAATGTGTTGGAGTTTGTTTTCGGTTGAGAGCATTTTCTTTTCTGGATTTTTCTTTTTCTTGAAACCCTCCCAAAAAAAATGTTTTTGAGGCTTTCTAACCCCAAGACTCAACTGTTTTCTGCAATTCTCAAGCTGTGATCTCAAGTCTTTGGCCGCTCAAACTCTCCTCCTTGCCTTGCTTTAAGACAATATAGACATATGTCCTCTTCCATTGGGGATTTTCAATGCTTTAGCTATTTTCTTACAGCCACTTCCTAATTAGTGAAGCTTAACAATCTTTTGCTGCACATCAGAACTATATTCTTTGGTTTTTCTCATTGTGATGAATGATTAAGGGAATTTGGACTCTGTATTACCTCATATTTATACTCCTGTGAAATAGAAAAGTCATGGCTGTATAATTTAATGTTCCTAGTTACCCTGGTGTGCAAAAAAAATGGAAATATTTGAAACATCAATTGGATAAACAATGCAGATTTATTTTCACAGCCTTGATCATATTTACCAAGGGTACCAACAATTCTGACCACGACTGTGTACATATAAATAAGGCAAGACGTCACATTTTGGTGTCTATCAAATTAAATTTATAAAAGTTATTTTATATACATAGAAAGCATATTAAATACCAGTATAGTGTCTGCTTTAATGTTGATTTTAAAATGTCAAATGTAATTAAAAAAAAAAATTTTTCAAAATATGGGTGAAATAATGTTCCATCATCATTCAGTGTAACAGATATATTTATTATATTAAGCTATATCGTATTATATATCAAAGTGAGGTGAAGGAGCATTGTGCATGTTTCACTTCTTCTTTTTTTTTTTTTTTATTTAAGAAGAGTTCAGTGCGCCTAAACAGAAAGAGGAAGAATGTGCTAAACATAGCTGGGAAAAGTAATTGACAGATGAGAAAAACAAATACAGAGACATGGGAAAAATAGGTGAGTACACACTAAACACTTGAGGAGATGCCTCTACTTACACTAAGACTATTACCAGTGGTAAAATTCATTAGAAAATATGTTGTCAAATTCTATGAAAAGATCCTCAGTGCGCAAATTGTGTGTTCCTTCTCAT